ATTTCATTAATTTCAACCAGAAATAACACAAAAAACTACTCGTTTTTTCAAAAATTTGTACATGACCTTTTTTAAAGAGCTAATTTTGTACAACAGACTTTGCCTGAAGAAAAAATCTCTCTTCAATTTTGTAGATTTGAATTTCTTTTGCAATTTTCTAAAACAAACAGCAATACCCGAAAATGAGACTGGAAGCCGAATTCAGAGTCGATCCTTAACGAGTGCTTAAACAATAAGGAATGCTTAAGCAATAAGGAGTTCCTCAAAATGAGAGGTCACTTAAGAAGGTTTGTATTTTATAGACGTCATATGGAAGCAAAAATGAATGTTCCTTAAGGTATCGGAAATGTTGCAACCTTGCATTTCTGTCAGCTGACTCAGTGATTAACAGTGGTTTCCGTCATTTCGTTGGTCTGATTTAGTGACGTTTGAGACAAGCTCGGAAACCCAACACACCCACACAGCGTCGCTCACGGAAAAACGCGGAAGTGTTCGTCGTAACATCACACTACCTATAAATAGCGGAGCAGCTGACTGATCGGCTTTTGAACCAGACGCCGAGGTGAGCGATCCAGTGCGGTCAGCCAGAGCGGTAGTAATTAGAGAGGGCAGTTTTCTTTTGTACGGGATGTCTAAGGGTTCGAACGTGCGTAGAGAGCTAGATGTGAAAAGTGTGAGATGCAATTTTGTATAAAGTACGGTGCGATGTGATTGTTCAGACGAAAGAATAGTAGGATAGCGGAATATTCAGCCTTCTGAACTGTGATTAACTAGACGAAGTGTAATATTGCATATAGACAGTGGAAAGTAGTGGAGTAGCAAATACGAGGCGTAAAAGGGACCGCGAAAGCGAGAACAGTGAGCTGTTGAGAGGCGTCAGTAGAACTGTGCAGTTAGCCACACGATTAAGAAGGGTTGTAAAGAACGCCAGAAAACTGTTACCGTTACACCGTTAGCAAACACGCGTGAGGACTGTGAATTACGCGTCAGCGTGCTGCATAGGAAGAGGAGCGAAGAAAGAAGCAGAGGCGAGGATTCCGATGCCGGGCGTGGTCAAGAGGCGAGACGAAAGAACATTGGACGTGGATCTGGTGGCAGGAGAGAGGAAAGACGGCGTTTTCGAGCGACATCGCGGATGGCTGGTCAGCGAGGAATCGAAGCTACAGGGCAGCTGGAAGTGGGTCAAGGTCATTCAACAGCAACGCCGAACGGTTTCAAGCTGCGCATCGTGCGGTAACTAATTCAAGGTAACTAATTTTGTAAAATGATTAGGACCAGACAGAGACTTGAACGTTAGCTTAGTAGCAGAAGGGCTGTGATTGTAAATTTGTATATTCACGTAAAATCTGAATAACGACAAAGCAATTGAAAGAACCTTGTACGCCGGTAATACAGTTCATCTTAATGTTATGAGAAAGACTGTGTTAATCTTTGTTCCTCAATTTTGTGAAATCTTGGCGAGAAAATTTAACTGTAAATAATTGTAGTAAGTAAGCCATTCAATAACGTGTTCTGCTAAAAATCTAAGAGTCTGTGTTGGAAGGGTGATATAATTTTTGCTGCACTCCCCCAGTCAAAGAATAATATATTTGTGGTTTAAACGGTGCTGGCCAAGCAATAGTTACCCTGCACCGGTAATTGTTGTAACATAGCAGTAAATTAGGAAGAAATACTCGAACCAGAGTGAGTAAGCAATACCAACTTTTAAAGGGTGGAAACAGTATTTTTGATTTCGTATTGAATATTTGTGTGCAATATAATATTTGGGATTTGGGGGTATTCTTTGTCAGTGCTGATATATGTGTCATATTCTGGAGAATACACGCACTGTTTTTGCCTAATTCTGTGTCTGGATGTAAATCTTTCTCACACCCCAAAAGATCTTGCCCCTTGCGATTTCAAAGCTCGTTCAGAGCATTCTTTCCAGCGCCGGCAACTACGAGGGTAGCGTTAGAATACATATCGTGATAAATCCTAATATTTTTCACTAAATTGTGAGGCAATGTGACAAGATATACAAAATTGCCACAACCAATATTATTAGCAATGAATAAAAGTTTTGAACACAATTTTGTATTTGTAAACTTTTTTACATAACTGTAAAAATATTTTTAAATTTGGCATTTTTTGTAATTCTGTATAAAGTTTTTCATAAAAATGATTACATTTAACTTTGCGTAGTTATATTGAGACTGCAAACAATATACCAAAAAGAAATGAAATTCACTTCCATTACAGGAACATTTCATCGATAAATAAATCAGTACCTGCAATATTTCAGTAAATTAATTCAGGATTCATTATGTTTAAGAACTATCAGATAAGTATTACATAAAATTTGTACGATTTTTTTATTCCATAATGAAGTATGTTCTATTTACTCTACAATGCATTCCCACTTTCAAATCTTCCTTGGGCAATCTGTAACAAACAATAATATTATTAGAAAATACTATTGTTGTACAATAATAAATAGTACAAAAATATCTTCTTATAATGTACAACAATGATCTTCTCAAATTTTTATGTCACTCTCTTGGTCAACATGAATGTGTCACAATTTTTAATTACGCTTATTACAGATTATTTGAAGAAGATTCATGGGAATTCCCTGTAAAATAAAAAGGACCTATTATATTATGGAATAAAATCTTCATTAACTTTTTTATTTCTATAATGATTGTTTTACTTACCTGATTATCCTTAATTCGAGTAATTCTGAATCAATTTATTGAAGTTCATTGGATAATCATATATTTCAAAATTAAAAACCCTATAATATTTATTATTATTTCAAATCCAGTCATTTCATTATATTATTGGATCATAAATGGAAATTAATTATTTATTATTGAAGCAATAGTTTGTACATAGGAGTATCACATGTTCAAATTGAGGTTATCATACTTTTCTTCTGTACAGTAACCATTAAGCAAAATTCCAACAATTTAGTCACACATAATAGCACGGACAGGTCGCAAATAACAACTAGTGGCGCTACAGATTGGCACAGCGTTCCCGTATTAGTCTTTTATTTCCTTTAGTCTCGGCTAGCTCTACGATCTTGCCACATACTCTTGCCAGCTGCCATTTATCGCCCTAAATGTACAGTTTTTGAAAATGTTCTTAATTTTTCGGTTTTCTAATAGTAGAACGGAAATATTATTATATGAATATTAATAAAGCAGAAAAACCCCGTCAAATAACAATTTTAATTGAAATTCAATCAATTTTCAAATGAAAATGACAATTTTCAGTGAGAAATTTGTAGCCGTTTTTAAGAAAATGGCGTTTGAGCGCTACTGTAAATTCGAATTGTCTTTTAGAACTTTTTGAGTGTTCGAAAAACTTCATTTGAAGTCATTTTAAGCACTTTAACTCACAGATAAATAGTATTTACAAATTGTTGGAAATGTGCATATTTTCGCAAACATTTCAAAACTTACACAAATGTAAATTTTTCTGAGATCTCTCACGCTGTTTATATACATGCTCAAATTTCGAATTTTCAGTAGAGCTTACGCACCATTTTCTTAAAAAGTCTTCAAATTTTTCAAAGAAAATTGCAACTTAGAGCGGTGTTTAACTGTTCTTTAATATTCTTACAATAATATTTACATTGTACTATTAGGGTACCAAAAATACTGAGAAAATTTCAAAAAATGCGGCGGTAGATGGCAGCAGCAAGAGTACGAGGCAGGTTCGAATAACAAGCCGAGACCGTAGGAAATAGACAACTAATACGGGAAAGTCTGTGCCATTCTGTAGCTCCACTAGTTTTGTAGTTGTAGAAAAGCACCGAAAAAATCATACGTTTGAAATTTTCGAAAAAGTATAATAATGAAGTAGTTATATAATATAATCACTTACTTTCTTAGATTGCTTCTGTCATTTGTGGACCACAATTTTTGGAGATGCTGAACTTGTTCCCTGAGGGTCCTCACGGAGAACGCTTTTTCTGTTATTTCAGCGACAGTTTTAGCAATTTATTTCCACCTTGCGGCATCTTCGTGCGTATTGGATCCCAGCACTTCCCTCAGAAGGCACAAATCGTTCTTCACCGTAAATCGTAGTCGAGAATTCATGGCAAATCAAAAATACGCTTATGGCCTCGGTTAAATTGCACGAAATAAACGTGTCGATTATACGTAATTGCTACCCGGTTATATTGTGGTGTCTTGGTCTTTCAATGAGACTATTTCTGATTTTGGTAAAAAAATCCGTAAAGATATTTTTAATCAGCTTTGTTAAAATAGTCATGCATTAATTAATATAGTCATGAATTTTAGAGCAGCTAATTTGACACATAGATATTACGTTACAGATCATTGTTATCAAATATTAAATTTGAATAAAATTGCTTGAAGGCATATTTTAATTGTTTAAATAATTCTTAGTTAAAAGGTTAAAATACCCTATCTCAAAAATATTATTGCCAGTAAAAGGGGGGAGGCTCAAAAATATTGTTTAACTTGGGGCCTCGAAAATCGTAAATCCACCGCTGACCCTAGTCTTCGTTATCAGATCGCGACAATAAGAGTTTTCTACCGCATGCATACAATACACACTCTTTACTATTTACCTTACAACCATACGAGTTTTCCTGTCGCAAAAATTGCCATTTTCCTCTGCAGAACTGCAATACTTTCCCGCTGCAGCACTGCTGTTTCCTTTGTGTTACTTAAGGAGGCGAGAAAGTAAATGGCAAACCTTCATGAAATTGCTATTTATTTGAGGTATTTTTTCAGTGTCATTTGAACGCGCGCGCTCGGAAACATGCTTCATACATTACGAATGTGTCTGCTGCTTGAATATTCTCTGTTTTAAGTCAGACTCCTATACAACGCAAAGAGGATGGAGCAATCCGGTTTGAATTAATGAACCCCACTATTATTCTGAGAATGAATCTATTACTTCTATACCTACTATAATAGCTGTCACTTTGTGCCATTCCTGCATGACTCATTCAATTTATACAAATTAGCCCGATTTGTATCAGAGCCTTTCTTTGTGAGACCACGCCGTAACGAAGTGTACGATTCTGCGAATATCAACGATATACGCGGTATCTGTCGGACATGCAATGAAGCTACACCAGCTGGTTTCCCGAAAGTGCTTAACACAATATTAAAGGAGCCGCTCAGGAGCCGCTCACGACGGACCGACCCACATCCAAATGTAGCTGTCGTCACTGATTGAGCTTGTATACTCTGGTCACAGTGGTCATTGTGGTCGATCCCGAAGCGTAGAACAAGAGATAGGCGATATGTGTTGTGATATCCAAAAGCCTGACGGATCTATAGCGAGTTGTGTTAATACCCTTAAGTGCTTGACAATTCCGGGACGGGGTTGTTTGCATCGGCCTGAAATATAAAAGGATATGCCTGATCTCGGGTGTGAAGTGTGTAATTATGTGCCTGTTTGTATACTTGCTCTTTGTGTTGTGATAGCAAGTGACTCAGATGTTCCCGTTCGGCACCATTTATAAACAAATACTGCCAAGATCCAGCATATTGGAGTATGTACAGTTCGTGTATGTACGTATCCTTTCGTGCGTATTGTATGCATTTGTATATGTAATCGGTATTTTATGAGCAAAGTATGAAGATTTCTCTCGAATGTTTATGTCGCATTTGGCGTTTAAAAATGATGCTTAGTTTAATCTCGATTTTAAGTGATTTTCCACTGCATGACGTACTTTCATCTGAGGTCACGTCACTCCGTTTTGTATTATGAAGCGGACCATTTTGATATAGAAGTGAAGTGGAAAATCAGTTGCTAACGCCCATAAATTTAACATTCAGGAAGCTGTAGAGAATATATCATTTAATTATCCCTATTATGAAAATTGTGTTGCAGTATTGTCAGCAATGTAATGTTTTAATGCGTTTGGTAATCGCCTTTACCATAAAATTTTGAAGAACATGTCAGCTGACTTTTAACCAGCAATTTTTAAAAAACGTCATTGCATGTTCTTGAATACTTAAACGTGCTGTATAAAAAGTTATATTATGATTGTAAGTCCAGTTGACAGTGATGGAATTTCAGTAAACTGTGTCATTATCAATGTTATTAATATATTGTGTGACTTATATTAGTGAAGCTCTTTGATGTTTTTTTGTTTTGTTTTAGTTACCAAAGCATTGCCACCAAAGAGTATAAAATAAACAGGCCTGACTAATATATCTTATTTAATTACCATAATGATGTCGATACATTCAATACTTGCTTTAAGGAGAGGTATGTTAAAATTATATAAACATTTTTTTTTTCCTTTACTAAATTTTTATATTCAAATTGTCATAATCTTTGCTTATATTTTAAAATCTTACAAGGATTGTAAATATATTTTTAATGGAGCTAATTATAGATGAATATCTTCTCATTCTCTAATTCTCACATCTCTTGCTGTTTTATGAAAATATTTGCCAAAAAAATGCAAGAAAAGGAATATGTTTTGTAAGAGCATTTTTAAAGTATATTATCAGTGTCTTGAATGGTAAGCATTCATTTAAATATAACAATATATGATTTTCTCTTCTGCACCTCAAGTTTTACATAGCTGACAACTTGGTATAATGTATGTTATTTTCTTGCATGTTTCTGTAAATTTTGTTAAATGAAATGTCATTTGAATATACATAATAAACATAAATGAAACAATTTTGGAATAGTAATAATACTATTATAAATAGTATTACAAGCTGATATTAAGTTTATGACTACTTTGGTTTCTTAAACTTCATGGCATTGCAGTAACAATTTTATTAGAAAATGCTTAGAAATATTCACATTTCACTTATTGTCTGCACACATTTTTTTGAGCCCTTATTTCGTTTCATGCAAGAGGAGTGATAGGGTGTTGATCGTTTGGTCGACAGGACTATTATGTCAAATTTGTAGCTCTTTTTTCAACGCACTCTACAAATGTCTATTATTTGTGTGGGAGCAGATATTTCTAGTATCAGATTTTGTCAACAAAGCTCATTGCTCTTATTTACTCTGAATTCAACTTTGTATAAGAATGAGGATAGGGATTCTGAGGCTCAAGAAAACGTGCATGTATAATATCATTATCATAGTTGATGTTTGCTGGATTCGGATCTTTGGTTCAAATGTCTACTGTTTTTCATTGTCTTATGCTTTTTTTACATCTCCCTTCTTTTGACCCTTGGCCAACGTAGTGCTGTCAGTTATGCAGTCTTGCAACTTCTGAGATGCGTAATTAGAATAATGCTGGAAAATGATTTCCAAACAAATGTATCATAACTACAATTTTGTGGATGTAAAATTTATTCATAAAATTAAGTTTATTTAAGCCTTTTTCGCTTCATTTCTCACTTCTGTCTTAAAAATGCTTCAAATTTTTTCTTTTGTTCTGAATGTCTGTAAGTTTTTCTGTAAATTGTTATACAATATACATTTGATTAAGAATTTATTTAACTAGCTTAAATTCAAAGTTTATAATTAAATTATTTATTGGAATTGTTCTTTTGTTTCAGAAAACTAGACTATGGGGTGCATATCGAGCAAAACAGACATCAATGACATTCACCACAACATCTTTCAGGTGGGATTGGATTTAATCCTTTTCAGTTTTTAAAATGTGTCAAAAGCTCTTGGAGTTTTTTTCCTGCTAAAACTTTTAGCTGAAACTTAAAATTTATTAGAAATTGACAATGAAACTTAATTGGACTCAAGAATACACGTTTTATTCCTAAATTGAAATGTGGAAATTACCAACCGTTTCTCCTTATATTGAACCTGAAACCTGAAAGGATTGTTTTCTATTCATAAATTCTTTGGAATAGCCCTAAATGCAAAATGTGAGAAAATTAATTTAAAATACAGTGATACACTCCCTGGAGATTTTTATTATCCTTTCTCTGAGTTCATCCCAAAGAGTAAACAACTATTTTATAGTTGTAAGAGTTTCAATTATAGTATCTATATGGGTATTTTCTATTTTGTGAACCATTTAAAAATTCAGAAAAGTAAGTAAACATAACGAGGCTGCAATCCAATAGAGCATGCCAATAAGTTCAGAAATTTCATATATGATATGTAGTGTGCGTGTACCTCTTTCAGAAGGATCTTCTAACTTTCTTAGACTATATGGTAGGTTTTCTCCCCTAATTTTCATGCTGCTTATCCTAGTGATCAAATAGTATAAAGAGACAGGACTTGAACATTTGGCAGTGGTGATTTGTAGAAGCTTAGAGCAGCATCCAAGTATGTCAAGCCAAGGGTTGAGGGTTCGAGGCCCACGTAAGGCAGGTGTTTTCTTGGGTGGGTGTAGTACAATTGGTTTCCATACCAGTTGTATTGTGTACTGATTGGAGTGACTGCTTATACTGACTTCCATATCCTGTCTGAACTATTATTCCATTCATCGTTTTTCTTCTATCATCATTTATCACGTGATATACCTTACTATCATGCATACTATGAAAGAGGGTGCTAAATCACCGTTGTGGTCCCCTGCTAGATGAAGAATTTTATAAAGGTGTAAACCTCTCATACCTTACATGCAGTAATGATTTTAGCAGTCCTATTTATTTATTTTTTCTTTATCAAACAATTGCTGATGTACAAATTCAAAAATTTAGTTCTATGATATGACATAACAGATCTTTTCACATACTTATGTATATTTTCCTTAAACCTAGTGGCAGAAACTCAACTTGAGGTAGTGTATTATTTAGTCCAACATCAAAGGCTGAATTTCTTGTCCAATGCTTGTTCCTAAATTTAATGTAATAATTATCTACTTATCGTATGTAATGCTTATGTACTTCCTCATTTCTAATTACAAATTTGTCAAAGTAATTTGGTAAGAATCTATCTTCGTTTATGAACAAAATCATTCTGTCGCAGAATATTTGTTCCTTAACTTTTAACAATGTAGTTTCAAAAACATTATAATCATTTGATCAATTGCCATTAAGGAGATGTTTCTAAACAATTTGTAGGATAAAACTTCTCTATAAAGAATTTTGAAGCCTTCTATTGAACTTTTAATTTCAATGCTTGTTTGAAAAAATTTATAGTTGATACTTGGTATGTACTTTTGATGACTAATGGATGTGATTAATTTATTTCCATGGCACATTCTAAGACAACCAAAATTATGTTTTACATAGCCAAGTGAACCATTTAAAAATTCAAAAAAATTCTATTTTATTACTTCTACTTTTGAAGGATCTTTCTTGTGAATAAATCTATATTACAGTGTTTGATGACAAAGATTACTTAAATGTTACTTAAGGTTCTTTTATTTGAGTACTTTTTGTGATTTAATCGGTGTGTGCTATTTTGCTTTCACTGTCTTAAAAGGACTGTATAGAGCATGGATTAATGAGGGGTGAATATATCTTTTAATTAAAACTGATGTGTCTTTCTTTTTATCTAGTATCGTGAGTTTTTTATTAACAACATTCATACTCTTTGAACCCTTTGAATGAGTTCACTTCACAAATTCTAATGATACATACATACTGTAATGTAAATACAAACAAACATTACATCTGTTTTTTATTTTGTTGTTATATATTCTCAAATATAAATGAAGATAAAAAGGACACTTAAATATTGAAAAGCTTTTAGATGTATTAAAATGATATTAGTGTTTTAAATTTTTTTTTATAATCAAATTGTCATTTAAGTGGTGAATAGTAAAGAGCATATGCTTAAAAATGCAGAGAAAAAAGCTTTTGAATTTATTTTTTTTCCTTTTCTTCCCTTTTAATAATTGAGTGTTGGATTAGTGTCAATAAAAACTGCTCTTAACAAGTGCATTATGTAATGGAGATCGTTCTGAAGTTTACAGTATAAACGCATGAAGTTTACAGTATATAGGGTCTGTCACACACACACACACACACACAACGTACTGTTCGTGCAGTTATGCCTCACTATCCAATGTAAACTAATATTGAAGACTGCATCAGTCAGTACAGTCAAACAACATGTGGCGTACCATGATAGAAAAAACATTTGTTTGTTGTGGACTGCAGACAAATTCTGAAATTTTTCTGAGAATTTGTAGTAGAATCACCAACATTTCTTGCATTTGTTAGTGTTCTTCATTGATATTTTTGGTTTCATGAGATTATGTACTTAGTCAACCTTTTCTATGGGTATTTGAAACTACATGGTCCTGGAAAGAATTGGGTACTGATGCATTTCATCAAACTCCTCTCTTGTCTTGTAGTTCAGTGTTCCCATGATGTTTTTTGCATCTGACAGAACATTCTGAAGTTCTTCATTGGAAGAATTTTGACCCCTTTGGAAATATTAAAAGAATATACAGTGATGTGTCTCTAAAATTAGTCTGTTCTAGAGTATTCTATTCACTGACGTTGTCAGACTGCAATGTCCTTTCCCTCTCAGATGAACAGCTTTCTGTTTGGCAGATAAGAGGGTTAGAAATAGATTGAAGGGTAACATTTTGTGATCTTTTTAAATACATGTAGTTTTTTTAGAATTTAAATTATTTTCATATGTCAATTTTTAAATTTCAGTTAACAAATAAACCGAAGTTATTGCAAATTTACTTTGTCTAGCTATGAACTCAGCTTCTTTAATTTTCAAATGTGTACTTTGGTAATTAATTAGTGTGACCATTTTATTAATTTATACCACTGGTAGGATGCAAAGGAAGGCAAAATTTGGTATTTTTTTTAATCAAAAGGGGAAACTGCTGGTACTACAGAATGGCATAGACTTTCCAGTATTAGTTTTCTGTTTTCTATGGTCTCGTCTAAATATTCAAACTTGCCTCATACACTTTTCTGTGGATATCTTTCGCCGCCCAAAGTACATTTTTTTGAAATTTTCTTAATTTTTCGAGATCATGATAGTAGAACAGAAGTATTATCTTAAGAATATTGAAGAACAGTAAATGGCAATTTTCTTTGAAAACTTTTTAGTGTTTTTTAAGAAAGTGGCATATAAGTGCTACAGTAAATTAGAATTTTAAAGCACTTTTTCACAGACAATTTTTGAGCCTTTGAAAAACTTGAAACACTTAAATTTGAAACACTTTAACTGGCAAAAATAATAATGCTTATAAAATCCTGAAAATGTGCAATTAACAGCATGAGAAAATATCTTTAAAAAAAAATGACATTAGTCCAATTTTTGAAGAAAAAAAAAAAAGTCATGAAATGAACTTTATCCCTTATTAAAGAGTACAATTAGCTCTATCCTTTTTGAGTTTGAGAAAAATTTGTAGCCATTTTTGAGAAAATGGCATTTCATAGTTTCTGAAATTGCGATACTTTGAGCTAGTTTTCGCAGGAAACGGTTGAGTTATCGAGAAGCTTTACTTGACATTAATTAATGCACATGTACTCATAAGTATAATAATGTAAACAAATTTTGCTAATTTAAATGTTAATGACATGAGAGACAAGTCAAAAAAATTGTAATTTTAGAAAAAACAAAGGTAAAGAGCAATATGGCATTTAATATCATCTTATAGAGAAAAAAAGGAGCTGATTTTGAGAAAATCTTGTTTTTGTAATTTTTTAAAATGGCACAAATTGCACGCAATATAGCCCAAAAACTAATAAAATTTTCAAAATAACGTACATGACCTTAATAAAAGCACTTATTATGGACAACAAATTTCATTTGAAGGAAGAATCTATCTTAAATTTTGTGGTTGTAGGACGACGCCCAAAAACATTCATTCTTTTGAAATTTCCGAAAATCCAGAGTTAACTGTGAAAATCAGACATATGTCACTTCCATAAGTGTGTGTTACTCTATTCTTACAAGAAATTTCGAGAAAAAATTAGGAGCCGTTTTAAAGAAAATTTGGAAAATGTTTGGAGGGCTTCATATAAAGTATCCCAAAAATTTAAAGAATGTTTTTTAGATTCTCAAATATTGGAGTGCAATGGTCTGGGGTTTCTTAGATTTGGAAAAAGTCTTATGCATGAATTAGGCGTTGGTAGTGTTCATAGACAGACGTTTTGAAAATAACCACTTTTTTGGTATTGGGGTACCCCAAAATGAGTATATCAGTTGAAATCTCGAAATCAATTTTCCACAGCATTACATAACTTTCCCTATTCTACGTATATTATTAACGTGTCTGGGTTGTTAGTAAAAATGGTAGTAAGTAAATAAAAGTTAAGAATAATCATAGCTACCCTGGTGAAAAGTGTTCAAAATTATTAGGGCAATTTGTTTACCATATTTTGTTGCACCCCTGCACTTTATCTGTATAATTTAATTATGTTTGTCTATTTTGCCTTTAATGATCCCTTGCAATATGTTGTTGATAATTAACATGCCCAATGTCACTTAATAGCTTGCATGTGGGTATTCTGCACAGTTGAAATTTGCAGAATTCTATAACTTTCATCGTTCATTTCTTTCATTTCCTATTATTAAAAATATTTTGCATGATACGGTTTTCCATAATAACAAAGACAACCATTAAAGAAGAAAGATTAAAAAGTATTCACTTAATTGCATTAATATATCTTGTTTTATCACATTTATGTCTAAAATATATTTAATAAAAGGAAAAACAAAAAATTAGTAGCAGACTTGTTG